CTTTGTTGGCGCGGAGGGATTTTAAACATACAAGTAGTACCGGCTATGCGTTATTACTTTGAAGCGGTTATTATTTGAAATGAACGAACCTGCAAATGTCTCAACTGACCAATCAGAATCAAGCATTCCAGAGAGCCGTGTAATAAGATATGGATGATACGTAGCGTGGAACTGTGCATTGATGTGACAGGTGAAAACTTTGATCGTGTTGCGGAACCTGAAAATATTAACATATTTCAAAGATATTTTGCAAGTTTAATAACGAGGTCCAGTGACAACTTTTCCACACTATTAGAAATTGCTATTAGAAATTTTGATTTTTTCACCCCACCCTAATGGACATGGTCTCAAAGCTGAAATGGCCAGCATAAACCCAGAAACCTCCTGGCCAGGCCTGAAGCTGAAGAGAATTTGGCTCAGATTGGTGTGAAGTTCACCCTTGTTTGATTTTATCAGGGTCTTGAATCTCCTACAAACATGTGCCTACTGTGTCTTGGGAAACTGCTACACAGGAAAGGTGCCCTGTAGCTGAACGCTACCCTAATCTGATAAGTAGTGTTCTTAGGCAACCTCATGATGCAGACCCCCAATTACTGTGTTCCACGCCACTATTCCCCATCTTTTTCTGCTGTGCATTTTTGCTTTGAGTTTAAAGACACAAATTAATCATACAGATTTTTTTGCTCTGAACTTATGATATCCAGCTGGATACTGGCCTTTTGTTTGGTTGAAGCTGAAGAAAACTAAATTCTCATTGTGTTGCGATGAATCGGGCTCTAATGCAGTTGCATATTCTTATAGTGGTCTTTTTCTCTATAAACCATGTCCTATGTATGTGACACGCTATTAGATACAAGGATAGCTTGGGAGCAGAGATGTTTATAAAGACCCATGCAGAAGAAGATGAGTGGTAGGTCACCTCCATGAGTCCATGTCCTCACTGAAACAAAAGCACTGAGGGTAAAGAGGGTCCAAATGGACATGTTGTCCTGTTGTCTCACTGAGTGTAGTAATGGTAATTGTTGTTTTTGTTGTTGCTGATTGATGTCACAATTAGTTCAGGGAGCAGTTGAGGTGCTTATCAAGGACACAGATGCAAGGGCTGCAGGTTCATGTTCTAGGAGGGACCTTGTTTAAGACCTTCAGCCCATGACTGCTTCCAGTCAAACGCTAGTTAAAACATGTATGACACTTTGGGTCACATGGCTAGCTGAGTGATTCCTGGGAAAAGTGACCCCCTCCAGGCATGGAACCCCAACCAGTTCTATCACATCACAGACTTTGAATTTGCTCAGTTTTTAATGTTCTCTTGAATTCACGTCAACAAGAGATATGACCACATCTGACCTGCTTCACAATTTTGTGTTATGACATGACTACACTGGGTGTTTTATCCTTGCAAGGGAAGTGGAAATCTCTCTGCTAATTCCTTGACCAATATTTCACTCTGTGTCCTGTTTGGACTGGTGCTTTGTTTGCTCTGCCTGTTTGACGGATGGGAGTAAAATTTGCAGCTCCGAGGCTCAGCTCCGGCTGTGCCACGTGCTCTCTGCTGTTATACAGCCAGTCAAGGGAATGCAGTGGCCCCTGCAGACCGTTCACGCATCCATAATGTATGTCTATGGCAGAATATTAAGAGGCAAATAATGAGCTGATTGCGAGGACCACCAACCTCCACTCGAGCTCTTCCCACCTTAATGGATTAATTACGCACCATAATTAGTGAAAATGGTCCTCTTATTCGAGGTGTAATTGATGGCCCTCTTTTGGACAGGGTTGACAGAAACATTCATTTTACAAAGCCATGGTCACAGACACAACATGCCTCTGCAGTGTTAACCTCCTATTCCTCCTTGGCCATTTGGCATTCGGGTTTTATATGTGCTCTTGAAAAGCTCTGCATGACCCCAGGTGTGATGGAATTCTACTGCGTAGGCATCAGTACTGGAAGCTGGAGGTTAGTCCTCAGAAGAAATTAACATGATTAAAGTGTTAATTGTTCATTATTCTGAACTTGCGCATATGCAAGATTTACTGCCTAACAGTTTTCATGTCTGCGTGAGAAGTCAACAAGAGCTCAGACAGAAACTTTATTGCAATCACCCCAGGCTCTTTGCCATTCTATTATACTGTCTTTTACTGAACAGCTGCATGTTTACAGTTCAATGTATGGGTTCCTAGGGAAAAAAAACACCACTTTGACACTGACATTGTGGTATTTATTATCTTCTATTATTATATGTATGTCTGTACATTTTTGTAACTTTGTCTGCAGATTTTGTTTGCTTTTAATAAAGTTGTACATTTTTATTATGAGATAAAGTATAATTGTTCCTGATTCGTAAAACAGCACTCTGCCTGCTTCTCTGTCTTGCAGCTATGTGGGTGTGGCCTTCTTGGCATTGGAATATGGCTCTCCGTGTCACAGGGCAGCTTCGCTACCTTCTCACCCTCCTTTCCCTCACTCTCCGCCGCCAACCTGGTCATCACCATCGGTGCCATCGTAATGGTGACTGGCTTCCTTGGCTGCCTGGGCGCCATTAAGGAGAACAAGTGCCTGCTCCTGAGTGTGAGTCTCGTCGTGCATATTACCCTTTCTGCCACACTTCCCATTTCCCACAATTCTGTGGCTGTACAGTGGCAAATGAGCCAGGCTAATGAGCCTTTGGGCATTAGTTGAGACTTGAGCTACATTTGAAATGGGGGCTCAGATGAAGGCCTGTGATATCACAGGGTCATTCCCACAGCCTGAAAGGTGACATCATGAGGACTATAAACCCCCTAACATCTTGCTGTTCATTAATACTTAAGAACCAAAATAAAATAGGTCATTCTGTATATGGGTACATTCATTTATAACATATTAAGAGTACCCTGGTATAACATGTTGTCAAGTTAATGCTTGTTAAAAAAACACACAAAAACCCTTTTAAAGCACACATAGATAGTAGCTGCAGTGCAGAGATGGCAGGGTGGGGATTTAATGCTTGTGTTTGCTGTGGAAAATCAACAATCCGACTGAATTGATCGGTCTTCAAATTGTTAAACATCACATCATGTACAGCAGCCCGAAGGATATGAACATGCCACCAAAACAGAAAAATAAAGGTTGTACTACTGTGGAGAATTCTAAACTCTAGAATTGAGCTTTTCATAGGATATGTCTCTGAACATCCATCTTATTTTCCTGGGCAGGATGTCAGCCCAGCACAGTACGCATGCACTACGGGCAATTTCGAGATGCCTATTACCTTAATCGCTTGTCTTTGTACTGCGGGAGAAGGCCCACATTATAGAACATGCAAAATCCACACACACAGTAGTAGTGTGATTCAAACCCTGATCTGTGGAGGTGTGATGCTACAATTCTACCCAACGTACCACTCATCTCCAAGGCATGGATCTCTAAATAACTCCTCATACTGTTATTTAGTGTTTGCCACAAAGACAGAAACTGATCTAAGTAGTGCTTACCATTGTTAGTCAATTGCCGGTGTTGCAGCACCAAGCAGAAAGGTGGCTGACAATTGAAGGCAGCTGAGCTGTGTTTAAAAGCACGTTAATCTCAACAGACTGCCTTTCATCAATGCGTACAGCACTAAGGTGTTCTACCGATTAGCCTAATTAGCCTCACCTTTAACAGTACCACAGAAGGTAATTATTGTTTCAAATTCTATTTAATATCTTTGTAAGCAATTGAAACAAAATTTCCACTTCAATTAGAGTGAATGGGCTGTTAAAAATTCTCTAGCTCTAAGATGCAAATTTTGAGAAGACAGCATGGTTTTCTCTATGAATTACAAATTATGGCCTAAGAATGATTTATCCATGGTCAAAGCTGATTGATGTCACAATTAGTTCAGGGAGCAGTTGAGGTGCTTATCAAGGACACAGATGCAAGGGCTGCAGGTTCATGTTCTAGGAGGGACCTTGTTTAAGACCTTCAGCTTATGACTGCTTCCAGTCAAACGCTAGTTAAAACATGTATGACACTTTGGGTCACATGGCTAGCTGAGTGATTCCTGGGAAAAGTGACCCCCCCCCCAGGCATGGAACCCCAACCAGTTCTATCACATCACAGACTTTGAATTTGCTCAGTTTTTAATACATGGCATTGTAAACTAGGTTTTAAACTCTTACCCTGTGCCAATCGAAGGCTTAGCACTAATTTATGTACATTTGAAACAAAGAAAGTACTGGTATTTGTGGATGAGTTCAGCTGCTCCTCTGTCGTTCTCCAACTCAAAGGTCACTCTCTCACTGTTTTTTTTGCAGTTCTTCATTGTGTTGTTGGCTATTCTTCTGGCGGAGTTGATCCTACTCATCCTGTTCTTCACCTATAAGGATAAGGTAAACATTGTTATCAATCCTGTAACTGCCAGCTGCTTGCATACACCATGCACGTCTTCATCCAGTATCTGCAGGGCAGTGAAATGCTCAAGCTGTGCTATGAAATTGAGTGATGATGTATTGCTGTACATGGTAATGGTACTTCTAAGTGCCCTTCTTTGAATCTGTTAATTACTTCTTGTTGTTGACAGGTGAAAGGTCAATCCAAACAATTTAGTTAGTTGTTTAGATCTGTGCCCAGCATGTGAGTTGACTGGGAGTGAATCAGGATTGCTTGCTGTTCTGCATGGTGGTCTACAGACCAGCCCAAGCCTGACAACTTACATCAGAAACCAGGGTCTACTTGGCCTCCATGTGGCTGTCACAACATCAATGTAGGGGCACAGGGAACACAAAAGGTCCCATATCAGGCTGTGAAGGACTGCATTTAGATTAAAAGTTTCTATCATGTACTTTAAATTTAATCTGTAGTTAGAAAAGGCTTTTTATCTTTCTCTTTTGGGGGTTAATGTTAATTTAGTGCTTATTTTTACATGCAAGTCTTTCAATAAGATCTGAAAGTGTATTTACCCCTTATTTTCAAATTATTTATTTGTATTCTTCACCAAAAGGTTGCCAGGGCCTGTTTTTTGTTTAATCTCATTCTGATAGCATTTCATAATGTGCTTATAAGTTTTAATGAACTTAATGTAGAGAGATCTTGAATTCCTTAAATTATGCATCTCAGAATTTAATTTTACTGGAATTCATCTGCAGGTCCTTTTGTCCCTCACACCAACAGACTTGTCCATGGTGTCAGACTAGTGATGAATGACTGCCAGTTTAATAGTGGATCAGTGAGTTTTGGCTTAGGTTAATCAATTTGTTTCCGAGCACAGTGAGCTGCCCGGTGGCACAGATGGGATCATTACTGTGTAGAGCCACTGGACATTAATCATTGACAGTTTTAGTGCGGTGAAGTGGACTTTCCATTTCTGTAATCTTAGGATGTCTCTGAAACCTGGCTGTCCATGATTCACTGTTTAACCATGGGTTATTGATATGATTATTGTACTTACACTCACAAGCCGATTCCTCCCACATGTTAGTATGGCAAATATATTTGTGTTGCCATTTGTCTGTCCACAACAGACTCTAAACAGGGTACATATTTATTTAAAATTTTGAACCTGAAAGTTGAGGAAGGAAAAAGTTGTTTTAAGACATCAATGGAATTTTACCAAGAAACCTCTACTGTTCCATCTGCAGAGTAGTATAGTTTGATTATTTTGATGTTGATGCTGGTTTCCAGTCCTTTTCAACACAATCATCTCACTCTCTCCATGTCTTTTTATCGCTGGAGTGAGGGACCATCTGACTATAGCAGATGGCAAGGCCAAAGACCAGATTTAGAAGAACAGCCCTTGACGTCATGCTCCCAATCCAAGGTGCCCTGAATCCATGGTCTGCCTGTAGACCTGCTGTTTTAACAAAAAAACAAGCTGAAAATTTGCTGTTTGCAGGTGTTCAGGTGTGTTGACAGCCATTGTGTTCTGGTGCTTTGTGCTGAAGGGAGTGTGGCACTAGAGCTTGTTAATATGATTCTCATCCAGTGGTTAGTATGACATAAAGGCCCCATAGGACTCCTTCCTTTGAGGGTCACCTCGTCTGGTCCCTGAGAGGGTGGGGGGCAGTGGAAACCCAGCAAAGTGAGAGCTAACAGCTTACCATCCACCCAGGGTTGCACAAAGCAGGGATTTGACTGCTGGCTGTACCCCCACAGCCCGGGCCAATCTGTCCAGTTCCCATCACAGCAGAGACAGCCTGTGCACGTCAAATGAAGTAGAGCGTAACTAATGTGGGGCGGTGGGCTCATATGTAAAGGCCTACTGCTGCTCAGGGTAACACAATGGGCACCAATGACTCATTGCAGAGCTGGAGGGAGTGCAACCTGTGGTCTGTGGCCACACATTCAGGGCTAGTTGTCCAATCTACAGAGCAAAGTTCAAAGTTCATTATTACCTCAAACACTTGACACTATTAAAGATAACAGGATGTCATCAGCCAGGCAAAGGGCCAGGTTTCTGTTAGCAATAAGTTGAGAACCATCAGAACCTTAGCTAGAACTAATAGGATCTTGTCCAGGATCAGTACAGCCAATAGGAGTCTGTCCAGGACATTCACAGCTAATTGGCTCTTAACCAGGTTCAGCACAGCCAATAGGAGACTGTCTAGGACTGTCACAACCAATAGCATGCTGGCCAGGGCCATCTCAGCTAATAGGGTCCTGTACAGAATTATCACATCTAATAGGATCCTGTCCAGCAATTTCACAGCCAATAGGATCCTGTCCAACACCATCACAACTAATAGGATTCTGTTCCGGACAATCACAGCTAATAGGTTCCTGTCCAGGACTGTCAAAAGCAATAGGATCCTGTCTAGGACCATCCACATTCAGTCTGTAGCTATAGCCAAGGTACCCCCTACCCACGCTCAAACAGTCCAAGGGCTTTTCTCCGCTGATGGGTGTGTACTCTGTCTCGGCAAGGTGAGGTACAGTACAAGCCTTCTGTGACAGCTCCAACCAGAGAACATAAGGCTGCACGTTGTGAACGCAATGTGTCCTGTCACCTTAGAGAAGATGTGACAGATCCTGGAGGGGCTGCTGCTTCGTTTTTATAGAGGAGCCAAGCTCCATGTTGATTTAAAATGGAAGTTTGTTCAGGTGCTTCATAGCTGGAATCACTATAAGTGAAACATAACACTATACCACACACAAGGCTTCTTCCTATTTCCATAGTAATGTACTGTAACTATCTGAGGCTGTATCTGCATGTTCCAGTGTGCAAACAGAAAAGCACATAGTTATTTTTACCATAAAAACAAGTTTATGATGACAGTAGTAAAAAGAAAATAATCCTCCAGACTGCCACATTGTCAGATTATATGCCAGTTATTGGTTCTTCTCTTCTTTTTGCCATTTTAACTTTGCATATTTGGTTAAAGCATTTGCTTACTCCTAGCTGACTCCCTTATGTATTCTATTGAAGATCATCAGAAGAATATTTTTTAAATGTTCTGGCATTTGCCAATCTAAGAAGGTGTTTTTTTTCTGGCCTATCCCCCATCATTTCCTGCTATGCCCAGTCAGTAATTTGGTATTAGGTGTATTGTTTTATCCTTGCTATATCCTTCACCATCAAAAATAATTTCTGGTGATTTCTTGGAGGTGGTGGGGTGGAGAGTAAGATGTGTGAAAGAATGAGATATGTACAATTCCACAGACAGTCTCAAACTACTATAGAATAGTATACAGAGTCCTCTCACATCTTTGCTGAGGTTCAAACTGATGACCAACATTACAAAAGTGGGATACACTGTACAGCAGCACAGCTGTATAATAATGAACACTCACCTGTGGCCCTCATGGTTTTCTGCATTTCACCAGTAGCCCAAGGAAAGTTCACGTCACCTGCTTTTCCCAGGACACCAACCGTCCAAGTTGTAACCTGGCCCAACTACATCTAGCTTCTGAGATCAGATCAGAATGGATCCAACCAGAGTGACATGGGCCTCACGAAGTATCATGCTTTGAAACCATTTGCATATTGTGAGGAGATTTGGGTTTAAATTACAGCAATTTATGATTTTAAAGTTTGCAGCACTGTCTCTGACAGCATTCTTCAGATAGATAATTAGAAAACAGCCAATCCCAGCCTTCCACAATTAGACCCTTATGGAAATGCAGTAGCATTGGTGATAATGTCATGGATTTTCGGTATTTGGATTGATCAGGGCCTTCTTACATGACCAGAAGGTTAAGCATAGTGGGCCAAGGAACAATCACACACACACCATAATTCCGAACATAACAAGTCCACATCAGAATAAACAAGAACAAGGAAAGATGTGTGGATGGTTTCATGACTGACTGCTCACCATGGGCGTCGCTAGGCCATTTTTAGGGGGGCTTTAGCCCCCCTAACATTTGTACTCAGCCCCCCTAAAAATTCTCCATAAACTTTACACAAATTGGTGATCGGCCACGTCCCCTTTAAATTTCATATGAAAACGGCAGCAGACTTCGGCTCCGCAACGTCTTTCAGCGCAGTCTTCAACTGAAGCATCACAGACTGCGGCATCACAGAGTGAGGATTAAGCCAAGGTGTGTGTTTTTCGATAAATTGTTATATCTGCATCAGTGCAGTCCTTTTTCATAAATACAGTTTACAAAAAATGTCAAAATTTTCACTGTGTTAAGTCATCACACCAGCTGTTTCCTCTAGCGAAAAGGAAGCCCTTAATACTTACCCTATTAACCTATAGTCTATTTTATAAAACAATGATGCTGTTTTAATTGGAAAACCTAACTGTCTATATAAAACATTACACAGTGCATGGCATTAACTGCCATAGAGTTATGCACATAAATGATTAAAAACAGTGACAGACAGCATTCAATGCACTCGTTTTAACTGCATAGCAGTGTGATTTACAGAGATAGAAAAATCCTGTTTTTTTTGTAATAAATATTGTATTAAATAATGTCCCAGATCGTGAAAAACATTTATTAGCCTTAGAGTAGCGTTTTTTGTCACTTTGATTTAGAAAAAGTTACCTTTTTAATGAATAGAAACAAAAAATAATGATTTAAAAAAGATGTTTTGTTTAATTACATTAAAACAATGTTTGTCTATATTAATGAATTAGAATAAATAGCCTAGTAGATATAAAGTTTTAAGGGGTTGAATGTAGAACCTACTGTCTTTTTTATGAGGAATCAGGAAGACTCATTTGAGTACTGATTCTGAACAAGCCAAATATGTGTTAAACATCTATGGGGGCTGAGCCCCCCTTAAATGAAAATCCTAGAAACGCCCCTGCTGCTCACTATCTACAGGGAGGGTTTGGCTATTGACTGTCTCTGATGAATATAATATTACTAGTGATACTGTTTCCCCAGGGGGGGCATTTTCTATTGTATAGCTTTCTTTACTATGTATTACATATTACACAAA